GCACAGAACTGGGACCTCCCTGGACCCCCTCCCCCCAGAGCACCCTCCTTCCTTAGCTCTCCACTCCCCTCGTTGACCCCACCTGACTGCAAATAAAGTCTCCCGCAGCGGCTCTGGGTCGGCCTGTCTGTGAAGGGGTCTTGGCTGGGCTCCCCGAGAGCTCTGCCAGGATGCAGGCCTCGGGGGAAGTGGGGAGACGCAGGACCCAGCGGGGTCCAGACCTGCAGGGGCACGGAGTCCAACAGCCCTGTAGAGACACCTGATGCGCCTCCACCCCACGTGTCTGGAGGAGGCCGGGCCCCGGGCAGAGGCGTGTGGGAAGCCACTGGGCAGGGCAGGATGGAGATGGTGCCCTTGGCTGGGCTCGCAGGGGATCCTGGCAGGAGTTCCACTTCACTCAGCCTGGGCTCGGTGGTGAGGGCGGAGGGAGAGTGGCTGGTCTCTACCCTTTACCCCTCAACAAGCCAGCCATATCAAGGTAGGTCCTTGTCCCTACCTTAACCCTTCCCATGGTTGGCCCATGAACCAGGGTCTGGGTAGGTCCATAGAAACATGGAGAGCCATAGAGAGGGAGGAGAGGTCCTGTACCCCAGGCGACGAACGAAGATGCCTCAAACTGCCAGTTCCAAGCAGACTGGACTACAACAGGATGAGTTTGCGCAGTTCCCTGAGGCTCAGCCCGGTGAGCTCAGTGACGCTTCAGTGTGACTCTGACCATGACCTGTCTCCTTGCTTTTCTCCTCTCTGGGCCTGGCTCTTGGTAGGGGCTGCTGCGCGGTCCTCCATGGAGCCATCTCAGCAGGTGCCAGGTACAGCTCCAGGCAGCCTGGACATCATGGAGGAGGAGGCAGACCTGCCTTCAAACCTGAGAACACCTATGAATACATGTCCCAGAAGAAAATAGAATTACCCTTCTCCTTATTCGCTCACAATTATCCCCCAAAGTCCTTTTCTTGAAATTAAAAGAAATACAAAATGAAAGATCATATTTCTTACTGCTTTCTCAGGTGGGCAGGGCAACCCTGGGGTATTGTTTAATTTCCCCAGGTCCTCTCAATTTGACACTTCCATTTTCCTGCAGAAACCTGCTCTCCGGGAAGCAAACAGTCTAAGAGTTCCCTTTGAGGGGACACCTGGGAGCACCCCCATTCCAGGGGTGGGACTTCACGGGGCCTGGCACCTATCCCCATGGCCAGATGGGACTCCGCCTGGTAGATTTCTTTCCCCGATGCCTTTTCCCAGGAAGCGAGGAATCTGTCATCCTAAGTAGTCCTGAGGTTCGTTGCTGGGGGTGATACCATCCTCCTTCTATCTTCTACTGTGCTTGTCAGCATGTGGGAAATTCCCCCTATTTCTCCCCTATTGGTGGCCAAGGAGGTTCCATGCCCTCCCTGAGGTGCCTTAAAGAAACGTGGCAGCAATGGCTGTTGGACTTCAGAATCCCAGGCCACTCGTAGCTGTGGAATGTTGGTGGCTGGAGGTCTAGACTTGCCTGTGTGGGGGCAGAGCTGCCAGACTCCAAACAGCATCCCTGTCCTCCTCTCGTCCTTTTGCTGGTGTGAAGCCACCTGCCTCCTTTCTACACAGGGACGTGGTACTTAATTATGCAGTTATGAGGGAATCTCATTGTGGAATTTCCGTATGTGCATGCCATATACGTTGGATCATATTCACCCCTTGTATTATGGGATTGTTTTCCTGACTTCTTTCCCAACTTGTTTGTTCTTAGTCTATAGAAAAATCTAGTCTTTTTTTTCACATTGATTTTGTAGCCTTTTTTTTTTCTGAACCTAGAATGGGTGGTCTGCCCAGAATGATCTGCCCCTAAATAGAGGAATCTCGTATGTGCCTCAAGCTCCAGGAGCTTTGTAGCATTGGCTACACCAGCCAATGTATTGGTCTGGACTCCTTCGCAGGAGAGGGGACTCTGGGTGGTCCATTTCTCACTGCAAAGCGAAGCCCACATGAGTCCGGATTAATCCATGGTTCAGCACTGACTTCCTTCTTATAGCTGAGTATCATTTCCTGTGTGGTTGGGCCACATTCATGCAATGATTCCTTCGTGGATGAACGCTGGGCTGGGTTCTGAGCTCTGAATAAACCCTGTAGCTCCACACACTCTTAGTTTCTTAAATTTGGCTGCTTTTTTAAAGCATGAGTTATGGAAGTCTTATAGCTATCAACCTAAGTCTTGTACTAGCTTATGACAGATCTCATCTGTAAAATGTAGATTCTGAGGATGATGACTTCCTAGGTTATTTTTGAAAAATTGGAAATACCGATTTTTAAAAGTTACACTTTTCTGGTGTGAGTAGTTCATGCATGTAATCTCAGCTACTCAGGAGATGGAAATCAGGAGGATTACATTTGAGGCCAACCTAGGGGGGGAAATGTACACTTTTCCATTCAGTAAATGAGCTGGCCTCCTCCTGAGCAAAAAGAGCCATGCTGAAGGTACCACAATCCATAGGTTATACAACAGGGCCAGATGAGCATAAGCTGCAAAGCACTGACACAAAGACACATAGACCAGTGGTTAGAAAACCCAAAAATAAGCCTTTGTAGTTGCAGCCCATCTGAGTCTTGGCACAGGCACCAAAGATACACATTAAAGAAGACAGTCTCACCAGCAATTGGTGCTAGGAAAACTGGATAGCCACATATAGAAGAGCGGATGTGAGCCCTATACCCAAATCAGTTCAAAGTGTATCAGAAACCTTAGTGTGAGACCTGAACACTTGAAACTACAAGATCTCCTACCAGAACTTTGGTCTATGCAGCTCCTTGTCTCCCGATGGATAAGACAGAGGAGCCAGAAGTGCCTCAGCTTGGGGCTGAGGGGGGTGGGCTCCATTAAGAATCCCTCCTTGCAGGTGTTTGGGGAGGGACCTGTTGCTGTGCTTGGATTTGGGAGGTCTGAGAGGAATAGTGAGGTGTAGGACTTCACTTTTGGCAAGAATTGGAGCCTGGACATGAGGAAGAAATGGACACGACACCTCTGGCTCTAGATTCTAAGGCTGGCATTTCCCTCTGTGATAACATTCTCTTTCCAGACAAAGCTTCCTTCAAATGAGTCTGAAAAGGCAGCCAAGATGGCTTATTGCACAGATTAGTGGCCTCTAGTCGCAGGGTCCAAACACCCAGCACCACAGGGGATGGAGGCGGCTTTGGGCCCAAGAGAGAGGCTATGTCCTGCCTCCAGGGGCCCAGCTGGAGTAAGTGGGCAGCTGAAAGACAGGAGCTTGCAGCTGACTCGAGGACTGTGGGACCGCGCCCCCAACTGTGAGGATGAGCCTGCTGCTCTCTGCCCTGGGACCAGGAGACCTCTGCTCACTCCTGCTCCCACGAAAGACATGACACCCCTGGGAGGGCTGAGAGTCGGACCTGGGTTTCGGAGATCAGAACCCTGGACCGGGTAAGGCTCTTGGGCATACTGATGATAGAGCCACGGCAAAGGGGTGTTTCATTTTTATATCCTCGTGGGGTCTCCCTGGCAGAGGAGGAGGTTTGCCGAGGTCTCTGAGGGCCCGGGCAGCAGCTTCCCTGAGGCTAAGAGGCAGCTTAGGGTCCCCCCTCGGCTGGGCCCTCTGGGGGGCCCTGCTTCCTTCCTCTGTCCGTGTGTGGGCTCCAGAAAAGCTTTTTTCCATTCATCAGAATTTCTATTTCCCCAGGAAACAAAGGAGGAGGCAACAATGCTTGGTAAGAAATGTACTCATTACCTTGCTCATGTAATTGTAACCCCTCTGAATGGTATTTTCACAATAAAAATAATAAAGAATAAAGGAGGAAATAAAGAATTTCTGTTCTCCAGTTAAAGGCGTTAATGACCATCCACTTGAACCATTGACTTCCCAATAGTTTTTTTTTAACCAACTGAGGTGTGTTTGGAGGAAGATTTAAGGTCCTAGAAATACCAGACTGCAACCCAGCTCCTAAGCCAATTGTTCCCAAACCAGGGCTTCCCCGTGGTGACACCAAGTTCTTTCTCCTCTTGAGGAGCTGCCTGACCACTGGTCATGTTCCATACCATCTGGCCTCTATCATCCTAGCTCTGTGCTCAATCCTTTATGTATCAAACCCTTAGATTCTCCTTGTCTCCCTCAGAAAAAGACAGGTGAGCCATTCCAGGATTCACCCAAGGCTCAGCGCTATCTAGGCACAGGAAACAAACGAGGCCAAGGGTGTGTAGATACCAGGCACCAGTAACAAAAGTAGGAGCTGGTGCAGAGGCTGATGTGGAGTCCCAAGTTCAAGGCCCCCATGGCTGGTGCCTCCGGAGACAGGGCCAGTACTAACTGCTGATTGATTTGGGAAGAATTTGATCCTCAGAGGAAGGCCACACCAGCAGAACAATGCAGGGACTGGCCCCCGAGGGCTGCTTACATGGAGCGGGGTACTTGGGGTTATCCATAAAGCCCTGGCCTCCCTGGCTCCTCCCACTGATAACAGAGCAAGGCCGGCCTGTGCGCAGGATGATTCCAGTACTTCCAGGGTCCTGGGCCCCTGCGGCCTGCACTGAGACCTAACATAAGAGGTAAGACCCACTCTCACTTCTGTTTCTGCCCCAGCTCCAGCCTCTCCTGCTGAACCCCCATACCCTGCTCAGGAACGGCTCCCCACCTGCTCAGGGGCCTTCTCCCTTCCAGCTCTTGGGAAAGTGGAACATAACACAATGGCCAGGAATCATACCTGTTCCCACCAACAAACCAACCAATCACAATGTGCTGACATTCTGAATGAACATGATGTGAGTGCCTGTCTGCTCCTAGCTGCAGGTCCCTAGCCCCAAACCGCACCTCCCATATGGCCCCGGCGTGTGGCAGCATGCCTCTGAGCAGCACATTCTGTAATCATAGGAATGGCCATCCTGGGGGGACTTGGAGAACACAGGAGGCCCGCTGCAGCCCTTGCTGGGCGCCTGCCCGCTCCCGTGCACAGGCAGAGCCTGGCACTGCTGCTTCTGTGCAGAGCAGAGACTCAGCATCTTTCAGAGGTTTTCCTCTGGGACCCATGGTCAGTAAGGTGAGCAGGCTGTAGTGAAGAAAGGCCCAGAACTTTGCTATCTGGGAGAGGTTGTTGGTAAAACATTTGGAGAGCCAGGGCAGGACTTGACATCCTTTCTGGGATGTAGTCTGGAGTAAGCAGGGAGTCGGGCGGCCCTAACTCAAGAGCAGCTGGTCGTTAGCTTACTCGCTGGTGCCACCTGGAGCACACAGGGAAGCCAGCTCTCGTAGAGGCCGCACACTGGAGCGATGATCTGCTGCAATAATGAAGGCCTGGCCAGGAAATCGCAGGTCTCAGCCACGCAGTGAGGATGAGTTATTGGATTGCTTTAGAAGTGCCAACCGAGGTTGGGTGGAAACTTGTTTGGGACTAGGTCCCTTCTGGGTTCTGGATCTTGACCGGCCACAGCTGCTCTAAGGTTGTCATGTGCTGGTCGAAGGGACTGTCGGATGCCATTCCAGGAACTGTTTGGCAGCCCCAGGCTCCAGAAGCCCGGGAGCCCAGGGGGTGGGTCTCCCGGGGACTCTGGTTGTAGAGCGAAAGGCTCTGGACTGGCTGAGGGAACTCCCTGAATGTGGGGTCCGATTGTGTATGTCCTTGGCTACTCTGGAGCACCCCCCGGACAGTCTCCAGGAACCCGACGCTCCCTGTAGAAACCTGGTCTCAGAGGCTGCAATTGGCCTGCCTAACTGGCAATGAGGAAATCACACCCAAATCCTGCACACCGATAGGGCAAGGCCACCTGCCCCGCTCACACCAGTTCCCACGTGGCAGCCTGTCTCGGGACAGGCATCAGTGCTGAGCTGGCATCATCCTGCCTGTCTATGGGCAGGTGGGGCACAGCCACACTTGGGTGTTGTGTTCTAGGTTCCCTTATGGATGTCAAGTTTTCTACACGTCCCTAGATGAATTCCTCATCCCTGGTGCATTCTTGTGCTGTAAGTAAGAAGATGCGATTTTTCTTTTCTTTTAGCACAGCATCAAGACACCTGCCTGATCGTCCTGTGTCTTGTGTCCCTGTCTGATGGTTCTGTGTCTTGTGTCCCTGTCTGATGGTTCTGTGTCTTGTGTCCCTGTCTGATGGTTCTGTGTCTTGTGTCCCCACCCATCTGATGGTTCTG